CATGGGACAGCAAGCTGACAGAAAGGTTACAAGGAGTGGTGAAGGGGAACCTTGAGTTGGAGAAGCTTCCAGGAGGGTGAGCTGGGAGTGCCGAGGCCAGGAGCGCCGGAGCGTGGTCAGGAGCGCCGGAGCGTGGTCAGGACCGGAACGTCAACCGTCAACCGTCAACTGACCAGGAAGCCTTGATAGGAGCGGCGTCTAGAAGCAGTTTTAAGGTTTATTTTAATTCTTAGAGGTTATATTTTGTACATATAATTTATATATAATGTTTATCTTTTAGTCATATGTAGTATGCGCTTATTTATTTTATTATTATTATTATTAGTTTTTCGAGACAAGGTTTTTCTGTTTAACAACCCTAGCTGTCGTGAAACTAGCTCTATAGACGAGGCTGGTCTCAAATTCACAGAGATCCACCTGCTTCCACCTCCCGAGTGCTGGGACTAAAGGTGTACGCCAGCACCGCTAGGCTTAATATGTGCTTTATAAATGTCTACCTTGAATAATATACTTTGGTGATACTAAAAGTTCAGTTATGTAGGAGAATAGTAATATATCTCTATTTTTTAAGAGTTTATATGTGAGAAAATATAATGAAACCCACTTTACTCAATTTTTTTTTTTTTGAGATAGGGTTTCTCTGTGTAGCCGCCACCCCCCACACCTTTTTTTCTGAGAAAGGGTTCTCTGTGTTCTTGGCTGTATTGTAACTCACCCTATAGACCAGGCTGGCCTCAAACTCAGAGATCCGCCTGCCTCTGCCTCCCGGTTGCTGGGGTTAAAGTTATGTGCCACCACTGCCTCTTTACTAATTTTTTTTAAAATGGCTAGGAGACAGACTAGCCATTAGGTTGAGCTCCTAATGGTTAAAGCGGGAATGCCCAGAATCCCAGTCTTTGAAAGGTGCTGGCAAAAGAAACAGGTTTTAAGGGCGTTTTTGCCTCCATGGTGAGTGCAAAGCCAGCCTGAACTACAAAAATATTTATAATAAAGTATGTAGATGGTGCGGGGTAGAGGGTGTCTCAGATTAAGCACTGCTGACTGCTCGTAGAAGAACCCAGGTTTGATTCCCAGCACCCATAGAGTGGCTAACAACTGGCCATAACTTCAGTCCCGAGGGATATGTTGCCCTCTTCTGGCCTCTGATGGGTACTGAAGGTATGGGGTACACAAACTGGCTGTAACTCCAGTCCCAAGGAATTGCCCATCCCCTTCAGGCCCCTGTGGGTACTAAATGCATGGTATATATAGACAAGCAGGTGAAACACCCATACAAGTAAAAGTAAAGAATTTATTTTAAAGATAAGGTTGGCTTATAAGGTGGTGTGCTTTGAGACTCTGTTAAATTGGGCTGCATTGTTAGGCTCTGACCTTTACAACCTAATTTATTTTATTTGGTTAATTATTGCTTTTGGATCCTCTTGTGTATGGTTTTGTAGTTTGATAGCATTTTCAAATTAAAAGTGGGAAAATCCAGTGATACGCTTGTTTTCTTGGTTACTAAGACGCATGTGCAGGGTGAAGAGGGAACAGTGTAATGTCACAAGTTTGCGCTCTGTCTGGCCTCAATAACCAAGCATCATTTTAAAAATCAGAAAAGGTGAGAGGGAATCGACTTGGTTGAGCAGGATCTTAGGTTGCTGCTCTTCTTTTCTTTTCTTTTTTGCTATTTTGTGGGGTCATTTTTTATGTTTTGAGACACGGTTTCTCTGTGTAACAGCCCTGGCATATTTTCAAACAGGAAAGAAGAAAAAAAAATCATACTCTGAGGGATTGATCTAAAATTTAGGATACTTAATAAGTGATAGCTAGTTGTCTTTCTGTGAATTTCGTAAGTCTCTCTCATTTGTTAATGCCACTTTGTGGTTTAATTTTGTCATCAGTCTTCTTGTACAGTGATTTTAAAAAACAGAAAAATTTCTGTTCTATTAATTTATATTTTAGTGGTAGAATTTTATAATTCAGTTGTACCACTAGTCTGATGGGTGTTTACTTAGCAATATGTGAGGCATTTACATAAACTATGTTTTTATTGTTTGTATGTGTATGTGTGCATGTATGCATTCGTATGTAGGTGCACATAGCACGTGTGGAAGTCAGGACAACTCTCAAGGTCATTTAACTTCTCCAACTGTGGGAGATGGGAATGTAACTTAGGTTGCTAAGTTTGCAGGACAAGTGCTTTTACCATCTGGCAAAAGTCAACTTGATGTTTCAGAAAAGAAACGTGTGAATATTTGATAGGTTAGGGCAGTAAAGTACATTTGGAAGTCTTGTGTAATTGGTCTTTTTGATTGGTTAGTTTTTGGTTTTCTGTTTGAGAATAGGACCTAATGAAGTTTCAACTAACCTCAACCTCACTATGTAACTGAGGCTGACCTTAAATTTCTGATTCTCCTGCTTCTACATCTTAGGTGCTGGAATTTTAGGTGTGTATCACCTCTCCCAGACATTTCTGTGTAGAATTGAAGTTAAATATTTTGTAGTGCAGTTGTGTATTAATTTAAAAATTCTAATGGAGGTCCTCATTTCAAGATTTTTCATGAGAAAAATAAAGACATAGAAATTTTCTGTTTACAAATAAAGACTGGTCAGAGCACACATGCCCCTTTGAATACATGGTAATCGGGCAGGAATGCTTTAAATGATGTCACAAATGCAGGCATTTTATATTATTTTGTGTTTATTAGTTTTAGTCAGGCTCTCATTCTGTGCCTCATAATGGTCCCAAATACGTGGGCTGAAAGGATCCTCCTGCAGATTCTGAATATCACGATTGCACGCTGTAGATGCATGCTGCTGCCCCTGACCCAGTACAGCTATTTTAGATTTGCAATACGACCTGTTTATATGCATGCCTCTGTTGCATGACACGGGTTATATATTCACATCAAGATAGAGAGAAATCATATCGTTCTCAATTCTTTTAAGCATTTGACATTAGCTTTTAAAGTCAGCATATGGAATTGTAGGCTTAACATAATTAAATTAAATTTAACAACATTTTCAGATTATGTTTTGTTCAGAGTCATTGGTTTTTGTCACCCCCGTTTTTAAAAGAAGCAGTTTTGATAGATATATAGCCCAGGTTGGTCTCTTTGGGACTGAGATTCTTGGCATGTAGTGTGCCACACTTTGTAGCCCTGACGGGTCTGTAACTTGCTATGTAAACAGGATTATCTTTAACTCACAGGGATTCATCCTGCCTCTTCTGAGTGGAGTGCTGGAGTTGAAAGTGTGTGTCACCATGCCCAGCTACATGTTTTATTCTTGATTTGGAGTTGAATTATGTATGTTGTTTTTGTAGCTAAGTCTCTTAACTGAACCCTTTAAAAATGTTTGTGTGTGTGTGTGTGTGTGTGTGTGTGTGTGTGTGTGTGCGCGCCATGGCATGTGTAAGAGGTCAGAGGACAATTTGTGGGAGTAGCTCCCTCCTACTATGTAGGGCCCCCCAGGATGAAGTGCAGGTTGGCAGGCTTGGTGACAAGTGGTACTTCCTGCTGAGCCATTTTGCCAGCCTTTACTGCTGTCTTTGGTTTTCAGGTATTCTCCACCCAGATTTTAAATCAGAATGATAAATTGTTGGTAGGCTTAAAATTTCTTTTTGCTTTTGTTTATAAAAGGTATAAAGGGTTTAGGAAATGGGACATTAGCCTTGCAAATCCTAACTTTTCAAGCAGAGCACTAGACCTGAGGAAGAGCTGTGGCCCTTGTGTTCAGGTATCAGGCTTAAGTGGACTTTGGCTGTGTCCCTTTGACCCCTAGAGTCCTATAGGTGATATTTTCCACATTTCATTCTCAAAAGACAGTATTAGAAGGTCTGAAGTTTGGCCCTTTCTTAATTCCCTGAAACTCTAATTTTAGTATTCACATGGTAATATTATTATTTAATGGTTAGAATAATCTATAGAATTTCCCTAAATCATGTAAGTTTTTTGTCTTGTCTGCTTTTCTGATTTACTGTGTTGCTGATTGTTTCCACTAATATAATGATGTGATCTTGTATAATCTGGTTAACAGCTCAGTTTCCCATTTCAGAGGTTGTTGTTCATAATCCTGTATGAGTTTTTCATCGCGTTCTTGATAAGTAAACTTGACATTTTCCTGCTAGAAATTAATGGACATGGCCTACTAGGTAATATTTAATAATTTCTTGATGAATTCAGTATGAACTATGGTTCATTTTGAAGGGAGTGTCAAAAATCTGTGTAGTAATTTTGATTATATAGTCAGACATAGAATGTGCTGTTTACCTTATATCCTCTTTTTCTCTGCATGATTGCCTCCTGTCTCCCCATCCATCCACTTTCAGAAGTTCCTCTGGGAAAGAGCGCCAGTGTCCCAGCCAGGTAATGTTTGACTACCTGTTCACACGTGAATGTTCTTACAGGTTAGTGCAGAACCTTCTTTAAAATATGGTGAAAAACCACTTTCATGGCCTGCTTACAGGTGTGTAAAGGGAAGGCAGAATAGGAACCTGTTTTTAAGATGGCTTAAAGAAATTCAGAGCTCTGAACTCTTTCCTGTACCATCACTAAAAGGATGTTAAAAACTCTTTTCTTGGGTCTCCAGAGATCCAAAATGCACACAGTGACAGAGTCACTGCTACAGAGTTGCTGAGTTATTCCATACAACCTATTCTTTTGAGCCCCTAAGATTTAGTTTTGTTTATGTGCACATGTGCGGAGGTGCCCATGGAGGTGAGAAGAGTAGTTGGATGCCCAGGAGCTGGAATTAACAGTTGATTGTGAGCAGCCTGATGTGGGTGCTGAGAACTGAATTCTGGTCCTCTGTAAGGACTGTGAGCCATCTCTCATCCTACGACCTATTCCTTTAATTAGGCAGAGGCATCCTTTTCCAGTAACTACTTACCTTCTTGTGTTCTGTGACTGCCACTGAGACACATTAACACCATATTGTTCTTATTTCTCAAGAATGGGCTTTGAGGTTTAAATTTAAAAAATTTCTTTTGTTTGTTTGTTTGTTTTTGGAAAGCTAGGTGACAGTGGAAGAACTGCCTGGAGTGGACTGTAAACGAAGCTGCAAGCATCAATCAGGAGAGTGGGGGAGTGCTGCTCAGGTAGCTCTTCTTGGGTATTATAATGTGATGTTGAAGATAATATGAAACCACTTCTATTTCTGAGATGGGAGTGAGTAGAGATACAGAACCTATGCAACAGATAGCAGACATGGGAGCTTATTGGTCTATCCCACTCACAGCGTATATTTGGTATAGATGTCCAGGTAGCATATACAAGCAATGTAAGTAGCAAATAGGCCAGTTCTGCAGACCTTGACCCTTCCATTTCTTTTGCAGATGTTGCTGATATTGTAAGGCATTCTGGGAGTCTAAAAGTCATTTAGCTTATTTTCACTGTAGGGTTTTTGAATAGTCTGGCAAGTCAGCTAGTTTCTAACATACATTTCTACATCTTAAGCTTTTGTTAAAAATTGTCAATGAATTCAGGCATCTGTGGGAAGGATTTGCAATCTGAATGCTAAAGTATCCGCATTCCTCTCCCGTGTCTCCCATTTCACGTAAAAGGAACACAGAGGGATGAATGGATTTGGTTGAATATGACAAAAAACATCAGTGTCAAGTAGATTTCACTGAATGTTTACTCTACATAACAAATGCTTTTTCTTCTCCCTCTTTAGGCCAGTCTCTGTTTCATACAGTGGCAAAGCCTACGGCTTGATTGGTAAGTACTTTGTGTGTGTATGTTTTTTTAAACTCAACTTACTGTTTGAGTTTTTTTTCCCCAGGTGTATAGAGGTTCTGTGTTTGAACTTGATTTTATTTTTACTTTCAATTTTCTGGCTAAGAATACAATAACTTAATCAAAATTCTTTTTAAAAACTTACTCATTCAATTTGTTCGCATGTTCTCTCTATGTGTGTATGTATGTATGTGTGTATGTATGTGTGTTTTCCACATATATACCTGATGCCAAAGGAAGACGGAAGACATCATCTTGTTCCTTCATGAAGTGGTATGGTATCGGTGCTAACTTATTTACCCATCCATAACTAATAGCTGGGGTATTGTCTCTTTTTAAATGAAGTTTCTGTACTTACTGCACAGTTACCTTATATCTCTTCATTGGGAGATTCTGGAGAAAAACTTGAGAGTAGCTTAGTGGGTAATTATGTTAAGTATTAGCATTCAAAAATAGTCATAAGGTTGAAGAATATGAAATGGTTCATCTCTCCTTGGGTGATAGCCTCAGAATTTGGACAGCATAGGAATAGTGAAACTTGGGGGGTACAGTGTGGCTCCTAGACACCAAGCAATTCAGACCTTTCCCTTTCCACAGAACCGTGGTCTGCTTTGTAAGTGGTTCCCAATGATTTGAAATTTTAATGTGCTAATCCATGGTGTGTGTTTTCTCCCTGAAACCCTTACTTAGATGAAATGTGTTTTCATGCTGCTTGTTTATATGAGTACCAGAGTTTAGATTGCGTAGGTAATTTTAGGCCAAGCCTATGGATAATGGCTCTCTTATGGAGGAGAAAGGGCTTTTTCATCGTACTTTAGGGAAGGGTATTATTTACACAGAAGTTAATAGGCTCAATTTTTCCTTTAAAAATAACCTCCAAATTATAATTGCAATATGTGCTTACGAGGAAAGTCTAGAGACTATAAAAAGTAATAATTTAAAAAACAATTGGCTTTCCTATAGGAAAGGAAAAATCAGATATGTGGGATTTTTCCAGTTCCCCAGATGTAAGTGCTCTCACACTGCGTGATTTCAGACAATTACCATGACATAGCCGAATACAGATATAGGAAGAGACACCATTGGTTCATTTGAGTGAGTTCTGACCAGCATTGAATCCATTTTAAATTGTTTACACTTCAGACATCTAGTCATGACCACTCTGAATATTTTGGTGTTACTCCAAATAATGTTTTTATGAAATATCCATATTAGTTCTAAGAAGATGATACACTTTTATAAATTAAAATTTATACTTACTCATTCAAGTGTCTGACTTCATTTCTTTTTTTCTTTTCTTTTTTTTTTTCGAGATAGGCTTTCTCTGTAGCTTTGGAGCCTGTCCTGAAACTAGCTCTTGTAGACCAGATGGGCCTCAAATACACAAAGATCCGCCTGCCTCTGCCTTCCGAGTGCTGCGATTAAAGGCGTGCGCCACCACTGCCCAGCCCGACTTCATTTCTTATTTCTAAACTCTAATTAATGTTCTATAGATATTTAGGGAAAAGCATAGTAACTCATTGAACTTAGAAGATTCTATTTTATTTATTTTTCTTTTTTGGTTAAGGCAACTGATCTAAAGAGCATTGTGTTGTGTGGAATTTTAAAAGTTGTGTAATGTATGCAGATAAGTTGTATGATTTTGGGAACAGCATGTTTAGAAGCAGGAAAAAGACTGAGGAACCTTGGGGGTAGTGGGAGGGTATTGGGAGGAGAGGAGGAAGTGGAAATTTTTATAAATTATTAATAATAATATAATATAATAATAATAAAAGACTGAGGAACTTTGCCCTTTTTTGTGAAGCTTGATTGCAGAGTCAGCCAAGGTCTTTCTATGAGAATGCAAACTTGTGGAAAGAAGTTTATTTTGCCTAGTTCACATTATATTCTTAGTGTCTGAGTTTGACTCTGGGAATTTGCTACCTCTTATGGGTGGAACATGTCTAGTTGAGGCTTTGAAAGGGGCAAAAGCATTCTTTGTTTCTTTGGAGCGTATAATTTAAAAAGTTGTGCGCCAGGCCTACGAGTAGCTGATAAGGTTGGCACATCATGGCTAAGTTTGTCAAGTTCCTGAGGTTGTACACGTAAAATAGAAGACTCCAAATAGACACAGGTGTCTTCAGAAAGCCTTATGCTGCTTCATTCCTAAACAGCAGACTTAGGTGCTTTCATTTGAGTTTTTTTCCTCATAGTTAGCTTGGAGGTCCTGTTAATGTAGTCATTAATATCTCCACTAGATAATGAAGGGCAAGAAGTACCTGCTGATACCGTCATTTAAAAATGTGGTGAGGATTTATAATGCACAAAGGGGCATCTGTGACCTGCTACTCAGAATGATTTTTTTCTTACCTAAGTTTTGTCTCTTTCCAACAGTTCTCACTTCACTGTTTCCACCTGTGCTGAGTGTCTGTCTCAAGATTCTTAAAAAAGTAAGATTATATGAGAACTGTGGAGGAGAAGCATTGTAATAAACATATTTTGATTGATAAAATAATTAGAGGTGAATATTTGAAAGCTTATGTGAATGTTTATTAAAATCACATCTAAAAGTATAGATTATGAGAGGTACTTGTTTAATATAAATGTATATACAGCAAAGCTGCATTTTTTTCTTTTTTTGGCTGCTTTTTCTCTGACTTCAGGTTTTTCTTTTTTCTTTATTTTTTATTGCTTTATAAATAATATCATTCAAACTTTCCACTTCCTCCCCCTTCCCATTTCCCTCCTGCTCCCTGATTCACCCTCCCCCCTCCCCCTCCAGTCCTAAGAGAGGGTACCCTGTCCTGTGGGAAGTCCAAGGCCCTCCCTCCTCTATCCAGGCCTAGGAAGGTGTGCATCCAAATAGAGTAGGATCCCAAAAAGACAGTACATGCAATAGAGACAAATCCCAGTGCCATTATCATTGGCTTCTCAGTAGGCCCCAATTGTCAGCCACATTCAGAGTGTCCAGTTTGATCACATGCACGTTCAGCTCCAGTCCAGCTGGCTTTGGTGAACTCCCATTAGATCAGGCACACTGTCTCAGTGGGTGGACCAACCCCTTGCAGTCCTGACTTCCTTACTCATATTCTCCCTCCTTCTGCTCTTGAACTGGACCTCAGGAGCTCAGTCCAGTGCTCTGATGTGGGTCTCTGTCTCTATCTCCATCTCCATCTGTCGCCAGACAAAGGTTCTATGGTGATATTCGAAATAGTCTGACTACAGGACAAGGCCAGTTCAGGCACCCTCTCCTCCACTGCCCAGGGTCCTAGCTGGGGTCATCCCCGTGGACTCCTGGGAACCCCTCCAGAGCCAAACCTCTTGCCAACCCCAAAATGGCTCTACTCAGTGGTAAAAAAACAATGACATCTTGAATTTTGCATGCAAATGGATGGAAATAGAAAACATCCTGAGTGAGATAACCCAAACCCAAAAATATAAATATGCTATGTACTCACTCATTAGTGGATTCTAGCCACAAACAAAGGACATTGAGCCTATAGTTTGCATTCCTAGAAAAGCTAATAAGGTGAATCCAAAGAAAAACATAATATAGATCCTACTGGAAACTGGAAGCAGACAAGATCGTCAGGCAAAAGTTGGGAGCATAGGGGTGAGGGCGGGGTGGAGGGAAGGGGAGAGGAGGAGAGAGAAGGGAGAAGGGAAGGGTTGGGGAGAGCTTGGGGAAGTGGGATGGTTGAAATGGAGGAAGGACGGATATGGGAGCAGGGAAGAAGATATTTTAATTAAAGCTGCATTTTTTCTTAAAACGATGCAGGCCATCAAGACATCAGGAAATCCCATCTCAGTGAGGTCAAGTTCTGAAGGCGTAAGTCACAAAATAATCCCACACCGGTTTGGAATTATGATTAATAAAAGAGTTATTTATTTAAGGGGAAACTTACAGATCACTGTCCTAGATAACAGTTCTCTGAGTGTACAGGAACAGAGTCTAGCAGCCGGAAGCAGGAGCCAGAAGCAAGAAAACAAGAGCAGGGCTACTGCTGCTTTTTAAAGCAAAAGAGACCATGCCCAAGTGGACTGGTATCTTAAAGGCTATTGGCTGAAGGAGTGGAAGGAGCCCCCCCCCTCAGCAAAGCTTTTTCAAGGTTCCAACCAAAATATTTCCTTAGCTACCTGGTTAGTATAAATGTAGGTCATTTGACTAAATCAATCTAATTACTCAAAACTTTTCATCTTAGGATTTTTGCCTATCCTGTTTTTTTCTGCCTAGAATTTTAGCTTTAGTTATCCCTAACACTCCAGTACCTGTGATTTCTATATTCTCGTTGGAGTGTGCTACATGTTCATTGTTACAGAAGTCTTATAATCATGAAATGAGAAAACTATAAAGTGTCAGAATAAGTAAGGATTAGGTTTGTAGGAAGAAATAAAATGAGAATTTAAATAATCTCAATCAGCTAGAACATACTTTATTTAATCCAGAGAGGTGGCATCTAGAGTTCTGACCTCAGTGTGATCAGGGCACAGGACTCAGTCACTCAATGACTTCAAGGTGGAGATTTTGTAGCTAAGAATCTGGAAGTGGGGAGAGAAGAATCACTGGGGCAGAATGGGGATAGTAACTGTTTTTCTTAAGTGTTTTTTGAAACTTCAGGGTATATGTTTTGTTTTGTGTGATGCTATACCTGGGGAGACTTGAACGGACGTCTGCTCACTACAGATAGGGATTTGATGACAGATAAAAGTACAGACACCACCAAAGTCCATATTGGTAAACCAATTTTTTGAGAATTACTTATAGGATTATGGGTGAGGGGTTACTTAGAAGAATAGAAATGACTCAAAGACAGCTATATCCCCACAACCAACTCCAGCATTGGTGAAGGAAAGAAAACATTACAACTTAAATAAAATTTAGAAAATCTTAAGTGAGCACAACTTATTATGACTTTCTAAGATAGAATAAGTTCAAGAATCCACAGGAAAAGTCGGTGAGCAGAGCAGAGAAAGTTTAGCCATACAGAGAAAGAAATGTGAGGCGGGAAATACAATTTCCGCTTTAGATGCTGAGTTGCTGAGCAGGGTAAGCAAGAGAACAGTGAAGCCACTGAGCTAAACCACTGTGTGTGGAAAAAAACCTTTCTTCAGGGGATCACACTGCTGGGCTGTCTCATTTGGAGACTGGAGCGGAGAGCGGTGGCCAGCAGGAAAAGCCTTGGTAGTTTTTGGAGGACAGATAAGTGGAGAGATGTGGAAGAAAGATAGGAGGAGAGATGTGGACCAGAATAGCCTAAGATTTAGCATGGGGCTTTGGCCTGTTCAGACTGTTTGGGTAAATCAGGGCTGCCACCAGAAGCTGGTATTTTTGCCTATTTGGGGGATCCCTTTCCACTCTTTCCTGCTCCTCCCTTCCATTAATCACCTTCAATACCATGTTCAGCAGACCTCTATGAGGGCTTTGGGGGCCATTATTTAGTCTCTTAATTTTCTTTAAAAAAATATATTTGATTTGAAAGATTATTTTACATTAAAAGGACTTTACTTGTTTTTATTTACTTACTTCAGGCTATACATACTTACTTCAGGCTTTGACAACATATACATAAGATTATATAATGAGAGATATAAACAAGCTTGTTCCTGTCAATGAGTGTCATTTGTACTTAGTGTGACTACAAGCATGATTCCGAGCACACTAATGAATTTGACCACTGATAAGGTGACCGTTAACTGGGATGTCTTCATTATCTTTAACAGTTTACAGTAAGTTAGTAACTTTTATAAAATTAAGTTTCAGCTTTGAATTTTATAATTTTGAACTAAAGATCCTTTAGTATCATAATAAACTTTAAACCAAAAATACTGTCTATGGAGAGACTGAGAACCTTATTTTCCTGATCCTATTATAGTGTAATTTTACATAATATCAGGTTTTTTTTAAATCACTCAGTTTTTCCAAATAGGTAAAGCTTAACAAAGTTAAGAAAGACATAACTGATTAGACATGTGCCTTTAAGTTAGTTTTTGCTAGCTTGAGTTAGTTTTGTAACATTAGAATTTCATAAACCTTAATCATGAGATGTATGTTGTTTATAAGTCCTATTTTCTATAAATTATGTACATGACTTTTTTCTGATCTGTTACTTTTGCCCTTAGAACAAAAATAGTTATACAAAAACTCATCCTTATTTAAAATACCATAGAGCCTAGTGTTGCCTCCAAACAAATCTTGTCATGAGATAAGAAATAGTAACCTCAAGCCAGGTATGGTAGCACAGACCTTTAATGCCAGCACTCAGGAGGAGAGGCAAAGGGGCAGGCAGATTTCTGTGAGTTCAAGGCCAGCCTAGTCTACAAAGCAAGTTCTAGGACAGCCAGGGCTGTTACATAGAGAAACCCTGTATCAAAAAACCAAAAAGATAATAATAATAAAATTTTAAAAATAGTAACCTTTGTTGAAAATAGTTTATTGCTTAGCTCTAAAGTACATGGTATTTTTTCCTAGGGTATCTTGTGGTTCTCACTTTCCTTGTCAAAGAGCCAGGTTACCAGCTTGACCCCAGACAGAGGCTTTGGAGGAAACTTTAAGCCAAACATGCTTGAGGCTAAAGTGGGCAGGCTAAATCCCATCCCTAGAGCCAGCTTTTTAATATGGCAAAGCATAACAATTTAACAATACTATCCTGATCCAAAATACATTTGAATATCTGTAATACTGAACCTAGTGATCAAAGGGAGGGACAAGAACAGAACAGAAAGGATTAGAGGTAAGGGGTTTTTAGATCATCTGCTTGTACAGTGACAGAACTTGTCACAATCTGAGAATCTGGAAATTGAGTTTTTCATTTTCTGGCCATTAGACTGATTGTCAAGCTTGTATTTAGGCAAAGCCATGTTTTAGTAGAAAGTAAAGCAACAAGGCTTGGGTGTCTCTGACTCCAAAGAGAGAAAGTGATTGAAGGAGACAGGCAAGGGGAGTTGAAGAGTCCAGTTTTGAGTGGCAAGAGCCTGTGATTTGTTAGAGGAAGGGAGATGCCTTTGAAGAAAAGGCAGCAGTAAAGAATTCCCAAGAGCAGCGCAAAGAAGGAAGTAGGAGGAAAGATATTTTTCTTCCAAGTTCAGGTATTAGGAGCCATGAATTTAAGTTTCACCAGAAGGAGGATTTTAATAGCATACCTGTGTGAAGTAGGGGTTACAGATCATATGGCTATAAGGGGATAGGAATAAAAGTACAGGAAGGGCGACACAGTAAATGGTACTTGACATAGAACAGAGTCTCAATCCCGGGGAACTCAAACTTGTCAGAGAGTTGTCTGGGATCACATGGACAGGCATGCAGAATGCACTTGATAGGGCACTCAAAGAGGTGTGGGGAGGTTGGCTGTATCTGCTATACCAGAGCAGCTTCATCAAGAGAGCCAGAGACTTGATAGCTCTGACATAACCTTAAGTATACAAGGAAAAGATGAGTGGATAGAGCAGTATAAGTGGTTGAAAAGATGGACTCGAAATTTGGAGTGAAATATAGTGTGGGTGACACAAGCCAGCAGAGGCAAATGATCCGTGCCCAGGAGGGCCAAGTTGGCAGTTTGGTTCTATTTGGAGAGACTGAACTTTGGAGGGCCCAAGTGTTCCTCCTTGGATTCAGTACCAGATGTGAGCAAGGGCATGGTGAAAGCACTAACCTAGACCCACCACTTAGTGGGTCGAAATAAAAGTTTATTCAGGGAATCAAACTGTTGGACTGTATCTGGGGTACAGAGAAGAGCTGCCAGCATGAAAAGTCTGTTAGTTTTATGGGGACAGGTAGAGGCAGGACAGTGGTCATTCAGAATAGCCTGGGACTTAGCATGGCGATTCCTATCTGTTTCAGAATGGGTTAATCAGGATCTAGATGACCTTTGCATTGAGGAAGTTGACCATTGGGAACAGATAAGGAAAGAAATGACTTTCCCTGAGAAACACAAACCTGACTCAGGAGATCTCGGAGGAACACTGGCTGAGTTTCATTTTTGTTTACCTAATGGCAATCCTTCTGTTTACCTGGTCAGAGTCCAGCCTGAGCTGATTCCGGGTTGCCATTTGGGACATTGTCAGCACCTCTTCTATTTAGGGCCTCCACTGTAACATGAGGGGGGCCCTAAATAGAAGTGAAATTAACCCTCTGAGTCTGGTGCTGCAGCCAGAATTGTCATTTTTCTTAGCATCTTGAAGGTTCCAGTCCAGTCTCTGAGGGAAGTTGAGGCAAGAACTGAAGTAGAAAATGTGGAAGAATGCTGCTTATTGGCTTGCTCTTCAGTGCTTGCTCAGGGTGCTTTCTAATACTCAAGACCACTGACCACAATGGTCTGGACCCTCCCACATCAATCATCAATTCAAGAAACTGCCCTCACAGGCTTGCCAGCAGGTTAATCTGATGAAGGCATTTTCTTACCTGAGGTCCCTCCTTCCCAGATGACCCTAGTATATGTCAGGTTACCAAAAAGCTATCCTGCAACACAGTATAGATATTGTAGATATTAGTCATACATAGCCATGCGAACTGACAGTATATTGATGTTCTTTGTTTGCTTTTGTCCTGCAAATATAGTAGACATACTGAAATTATGACCAGAAAATTGTTTTTTTGTTTTTTTGGGTTTTTTTTTTTGCTTTTAGACTTTTAGGATCTAAAAGAATAAAGACTTAGGTTACAAATCTTAATTTTCTTAAAATGTTTTGTGTTAAAGACTCATTTTCATTAAATTTTGTTACTTCTTCCAAGAGGAACTGATAATAGAAATATTTGATCAGAGATGCTAGTCCATATAGCTCAAGGCTAACTTTATTTTGTAAGATACTTGCTGTGGCATGTAACAGGTGCTT